TCTGTAAATCAGAGGATTTTGTCCAAAAGTTAATACTTGAAGAAGTATTCTGTATGTGCATTGTTCTCAAGGTGTCAAGTCAGGACCAACATACAGCTGATAGAATGGCGGGTTTCCAGAGGTAGTGAATCACTTGAGAAGAGATTGCCCATCTTTCTTCCACAGAATAGCTGGTAGATTTGAACTATATGCCTTTATATTGGCAGTACAGATCCTTGCCATTTGGATACCAGAGTTTTGTATGGACAGAATTTAAAAAGCCATATGCATGTTCAGAGCGAACACATTCTAATATTCTAAATTCTTGCATTCAACAAAAATCTTAAGACTTTGAAGACAACAGACACTTCCATAGATTTTCAACTTCCACCCAGGGAGCAATACTAACTGCACTTTAAATGTTATTTTTTTTATAAATCCTATTGTCAGCTGTTAAAACACATACCTTGAGTAAATACTTGAAATTATTTTACTCAAATTTGTGACTGCCTCATCAACTTAGGTCCTGAGAATAGAGATTACTATAGTTATGAAAGGAAATAACTAGGAAAAAATGAGAATAATTCTTCATTATTGAGTGTTTTAACATATTTGGGGTTTTTTCCCTGTGAAATTTAATAATTTACTCTCTTGTTAAAAGTTTATTTCACTTCTTTTGCCAGATTCTTAAGCTATTTGCCATTGACCATAAGTGATAAAAATGATGTCAGTTTGATTTTAATAAGCATCTTCATAGAAGTTCAAGAAATGATTAATAATAAGACCTTTTCTTTCTCTTTTTTTACCTAATCCTGTAGCAAATAATACCTACCAAAAACTCCTTTTCTGTTGAGGAACACTTTTTCTAGATTATCTTTGCGAGTGTGGTTCTAGCTACATTTATCTTTTTTCTTTTATTATACTAGTTTATTTACAAAATTCAAATACCTTGTTTTCTGACCAGATTCTTCAATTTCCCTCACCTTCCCACCCTATCAAATTGTACCACCCTGTGATTACAACCCCCCCATCTTCATCCCTCTGTTTCCACCCTCCCCTCCCCTTGGATCTTCTTACTTATTCTACAATAATGGTTTTATATAATATTTGTCCTTGGGACTGAGTTAGTTCACTCAGCATAATCTACAAAATCATTGCTCCTGCATGCTGCATATTATTCCAT